TCAATAAAGTATGTCATGTTGCAATGAAATTACCAATCTTTATTTATTTGTTAAATCAAAGATTGGCTTGAGCCGGGATTGAAGAAAACCCTTGACAAGACTGCGTTAGCTGCATTAACATGACACGCTTTACACATATCTAATACATAACTTCCGAAATGTCAAACATAGCGATAGGCATCACCCATAGCCCAAGTCTAAAATAAATCGCTTTTTGCTCGCTTCGTCCGCCTAATGGGTATAACCAGTGGTGGGATCCAAATTTTTTGTCAGCCGCTTCCTTCAAAAAAGTCATATTTTTTAAGCCGGTTCTGTTACAAACAGAACATTGACAGTAACCAGTAATGCTAACCGGTTCGCTGATCTCATAAAACTTCGTGAGACGGTTCTATAGAACCGGTGCGAACCGGCTGACTCCCACCAATGGGTATAACCTATGGTTGCTTCCACAAAGCATTCCCAACAAATACCGCATGCAGATGACAAAATCATTTACATAAATATGTAGTCCTGTAGTTAGACCTAGGAGGTGAGTGTCGTTCTGGAACAGAGAACTATTGATGTTGGTCGTCTTATATGTAGGGTTGGTCATTTTCGAATACCTGATGATTTCAGAATTGAATCGAATATTTTTTTTGTATCTAATCTCGAATACTTGGTAGATATGTAACTGTGTGTAACTTTTTGAACTGTATTAGGTCCTCCAGATACATAAATTACTGAAGAGATAGAATACATCACTCAGACAGATTGCTGAGCGTTCACGCAAAATAAAAAAAAACGTTTTCATCAATAACTGACTACAGAAAAGAGTCATGTCAAAATTGCGATGAAAAAATATGGCTTCAAGAAAAAAAAGTTTGATAATTTACCTTGACCATTAACAAAAAGAAAAAAAAATACAAGATGGCGGCGATACGAAATTTCGCTCTGAACCGATTCGAATATTTTACTGTTAGATTCAAATATTCGATTCGAAATGCCCAGCCCTACTTATATGAACTTGACTCAACTATTCATTTATAATCAGCCAAAACTTACTTCATGTAATTGAAAAGGAATAAACATATACAAGACGATATACAACTAATATAATTTAAAATCATGTACTACAGTGGCGCATCCAGGGGATGCGGACCACTATTCATAAATCTCAGTTTTGACAGACCCACATCCTTTTACGTATCAAATTATGCGGGTAACTAACTTAATGCTTTTCATTGCCCAAAAATCAATTTTTTTTATTTGGCCTCTTTGATAGCAATAAATATTTTATGAAAATGGATCATTAAATGTTGCTCAGTCTCTTTTCATATTGTTGCGAACCCTTGTGCAGTCATCACGCACCCCCTGAAGTCCGTGGACCCCAGTTTGGGAAACCCTGCTGTAAACAATACGATAGTTAAAATTATAAAATTTAGAAGTAGATTTGTTCAAACAAGGTGAGTAGAATAAAGTAACTTTAGCTTTAGTGAAGCTTTCGCTGACTTGATATACACTAGGTCCCAATAAATATCGTCAATTTGTCGAATCTCATTGTCATTGTTTTTATCTAATGATTTTAAACTATCGATGTTTTCTTGCTCTCAAGTTCGGTTCGGATAAACATCTACAACAACTACGAATACCCTGACGCAACAAATCACAAGATAATTTTCCTCAACCTTAGCGCCCTATGACGTTTGTGAAAAATAACAACTTGCGAAAAATAAATAAATTTGTCAGTGAATTATAAAACTGACTGACGCCAAATTTAGAGTAAAATATATGGCGAGATAATTATTTGGGTACTGAGAGTTTGAAATCGATTGGTCGATTAGTTTCTGATAAAAGATTCTGTTTTTTTTAGGAATCGAAAAAGATGACGAACAATAATTAAAAAAACGAATCCTAGGTTTGCTTGTAAATATTATAACTTTGAATATTCTTTGACTGAGGCTCAAAAACAGAATTGTTAATAAATTCACTCAAGCGGTTGCATTCTGAGGTTGAGAACATACCACTAAGCAACGTTACTAAACGTTACGCACACTCAATAAAAACAAGGTAAATTCATCTCTAAATAAGATACGCGCGCTCACACTGAAGTAATTGATACTGATGTTCTAGCATTCACTCAGAAGTAAAAAAGACTCAACACGGAGCAAAGTAATGAGAACTCATTCAGAAGTAAAAAGGAATCATCACTGAGCAAATTTATGTGCACTCATTCAGAATTAGAAGACTCACCTTTGAACAAAGTTACGGTCACTCACTCTGAAGTAAAAAAGACAAACTTCGGAGAAAAGTTACGGGTACGCTTTCAGAGGTAATGAGACTAATCTCTATACACAGTTGCGCGCAATTACCAAGAAGTAAAAGAGACTCATCCCTTTTAAAAAATAGGCATGCTCATTAAGAAGAAATGGAGACTAAAACTTCAGCAAAATTTTGTTTGAAGACTCATAAGTAAACGAGACTTAGCTCAAGGCCAAATCACGCACATTCACTCAGAAGTAACAGTGACTCATCTCTGAGCAAAAGTAAGGAGGCTCTCGCAAGAGCAAAGGAAACTCATTTTTGAACTAAGTTACGGACACCCACTCAAAAGTATAGGAGATTCAACTCTGAACACAACTACAGACACGCACTCAGGGGAAATAAGGCTCATCTCTCAACAAGGTTAGTTACACTAACTCAGAAGTAAATAAGACTCATCTCTCAGCATAGTTAAGCGCACTCACTCAGAAGTAAAAAAGATTCATATCTTAGCAAGGTTACGTACACTCACTTAGTGGTATGGGAGATACAACTCTGGACAGAGATACAGACACGCACTCAGAAGTAAAGAAGACTTATTTTTGAAAACAGTTACGCGTACTCACTTATTAACGAGAATCACCTCTAAGCAAAGTTATGGGCACTCATTCGGGAGTAAAGGATATTCAACTTTAAGCAAAGTTATGGGAACTCACCAAGAAGTAAAGGAGAATATCTCTGAACAAAATACGCCCACTCACTCAGAAGTAAAGAAGATGAGTTTCTCGGTAAACCTATGCGCAATCACTCTGAAATAAAGTAGACTCATCTCTGAGTAAAGTTACTGGCACTCACTCACAAATAAAAGAGACTCATCTCTAAGCAAAGTTATGGCACTCACTCGTAGGTAAAAGAGATTCATCTCTCAGCAATGTTATGGCCCCTTACTCAGAAGTAAAAGAAACTCATATCTAAGCAAAGTTATGCGCACTCACTCGAAAGTGAAGAAGACTCATCTCTCAGCAAAGTTATGGGCACTCACTCAGAAGTAAAGGAAACTCATCTCCGAGTAAAGATACTGGCACTCACTCACAAGTAAAAAAGACTCATCTCTCAGCAAAGGTATGGTCACTCACTCAGAAGTGAAGGAGACTCATCTCTGAGTAAAGTTACTGGCACTCACTCACAAGTAAAGAAGACTCATCTCTAAGCAAAGTTATGGGCACTCACTCAAAAGTAAAGAAGACTCATCTCTGAGTAAAGATACTGGCACTAACTCACAAGTAAAAAAGACTCATCTCTCAGCAAAGGTATGGTCACTCACTCAGAAGTGAAGGAGACTCATCTCTGAGCAAAGTTATGGGCACTCACTCAGAAGTGAAGGAGACTCATTTCTGAGTAAAGTTACTGGCACTCACTCCCAAGTAAAAAAGACTCATCTCTCAGCAAAGTTTTGGGCACTCACTCAGAAGTAAAGGAGACTCATCTCTGCGTAAAGTTACTGGCACTCACTCACAAGTAAAAGAGACTCAACTCTCAGCAATGTTATGGTCACTCACTCAGAAGTAAAGGAAACTTATCTCTGATCAGCGAGCTATGGTCACTCACTCAGAAGTAGAGTAAACTCATCACTGAGCAAAGTTATGGTCACTCACTCAGAAGTGAAGGAGACTCATCTCTAAGCAAAGTTATGGGCACTCACTCAGAAGTAAAGGAGACTCATCGCTGAGTAAAGTTACTGGCACTCACTCACAAGTAAAAGAGACTCATCTTTCAGCAAAGTTATGGTCACTCACTCAGAAGTAAAAGTGATCCATCTCTCAGCAATGTTATGGTCACTCACTCAGAAGTAAAGAAAACTTATATCTGAGCAAAGCTATGGTCACTCACTCAGAAGTAGAGTAAACTCATCTCTGAGCAAAGTTATGGTCACTCACTCAGAAGTAAAGAAGACTCATCTCTGAGCAAAGTCATGCGATTTATGACGTAATAAATACACCACATCACCTCCCTCCTAAAACTAAAAATTGTTAGTAACATGATTTAAAGCCGACAATGATATAAAATGACGTAGTAACCAAAGTTTTACATTAAAACAATTTGAAATTAAAATCTATCTGGTCTCCTTCTCTGCCGAAGTGGATAACGTCGTTCCATGTCTGTTGTCGACTTTGGAGTTGATGTCGGATTCTGCGATTCGTCTGTTTCCGGTGTCTGATCGATGGGAGAGTTCGGTGGTGATAACTCTATGTTTGGAGACGGCACTGGACTTTTGGATACTGCACTGTCTGTTGCATCTAGATCCTTACTTGCAGGCTCGTCATCTTCAAAATGATCATCTTCATATTCAAGCAGTTGCTCTTCATATCTATGTTCTTGCTCGATCTTCAAGTCAGATTTAATAATCTGGTCTATATGCCTCTTCCAACTAACATTAGGAGCAACACTGACCATATAAGTCAGTGGACATATTATTTTTGTGATTTCACCACGTTTCCATTTCGAATTCACACGTTAATCTCTAACGAGGCTGTTTCACCAACGTTAAATGATCGCAGAGTTTTGTTACTCTTCATCCGCACTGTATATTGTTTTTCCTCAACACGATTACGAATGTTAGGTTTGATCAAGTCCAAAATAGTACGAAGACGTCGTTTACAGAATAATACAGACGGTGCCTCACCCGTTGTGCAATGAGGAGTATTTCGATACCCCAGTAAAAAATCATCCAAATGTAAGTCGAATTTGTTGGCATCATTAACTTAGCGCATAGCGCGCTTGAACGTTTGTACAAATCGTTCGGCAGCGCCGTTAGATGCTGGATGATAAGGTGCAGATTTCTTATGCTTGATGCCATTTGCTTTCAAAAAGTTCGCAAATTCATGTGAAGAAAATTGAGGCCCATTGTCACTCACAAGATATTCCGGTAAACCATATCTAGCAAAAAGACTTCTTATGACACGGATAGTACTATTGGCGTTAGTTGACGACATTTTAATAACTTCCGGCCATTTTGAATATGCATCTACTACTATTAAAAACATCGCCCCCTTGAATGGCCCGGCAAAATCTACATGGACTCGGTTCCATGGTGCTTGGGGCCACTCCCAGTGGTGTAGAGGAGCTTTCGAATGTTCATTTTGCTGCATATGGCAGTCATTGCAATTTTTATTCATATTTTCTATGTCTTTGTCTAATCCTGGCCACCAGAAATAACTTCGAGCCAAAGATTTCATTTTCACAATTCCAACATGACCATCATGCAATTCTTTTAACAAACGTGATCTCAGAGAATTTGGTATGATTACTCTTGAACCCCACATCAAACAACCATCATGTGCCGTTATTTCACGTTTATGAAAATAGTAGGGCTTGATACTGGGTTTTTGTGACTGGAACAACGACCACCCTTTCCTTACAGAGTCATATAGTTCCATTAAATCAGCGTCACAACAAGTTTGATTTCTAACCTGTTTGCACGTTATCGGCAGAGAGTCACAAATGGCAAAGCTGTTTACTGTAGCATCGGTAATATCGTCTTCAGTTTCGTTCTCTTGTGCTTGAAGCGGCATTCTAAATAACCCATCTGCGTTACAGTGTTTTGCCGTTGGTTTGAATTCAATTTCATAGTCCAAACCTGCTAGAAACAAAGCATATCTTAGTAACCTTGCAGCTGTTGTAGCGGGGATACCTTTGTTTGGATGGAAAATAGACGTTAGAGGACGGTGATCGGTAACTAGAGTAAATTTCCTTCCACATACGTAACAATAGAACTTTTTGACTCCCCAAATAATTGCAAGGGCCTCTTTCTCTATTTGTGAATATTTCCTTTGTTTTCTCGGTAAGCGATTTTGAAGAAAAAGCTATGGGACGTTCGGAACCATCTTTCATTACATGAGACATTACCGCCCCGAGACCATACTGTGAAGCATCACATGCCAGTTTTAAAGTTAATGAAGGATCATAATGAGTTAATACAGTGTTCGAGGTCATAAGCTTTTTGGCTTCGAGAAACGCTTTTTCGCAGTATTTAGTCCACTTCCATCTGCAATTAGCCCTGAGCAGACAATTTAAAGGATACAGTACAGATGACAAATTCGGAATAAATCTTTGATAGTAATTAACCATGCCAATAAACGATCTCACTTGACTGACATTTCCCGGCCTCGGTGCGTCACGAATCGCTTTAATTTTAACATCCGTTTTGTGAAGCTTGTTACAATCAACTTTGTATCCACAGAATTCAACGCTGTTTTTAAAAAATTCAGTTTTACTTTTATTAACTTTGAGATTATATTGTTGCAAACGCATAAGAAGTTTTTCAATATTGTCCAAATGTTCAATGTTATTATTACCCGTTGTTAACATGTCATCAAGAATACATTTGCTTCTTGGAACCCCGTTTAATATTTGTTCAATTGTTCTTTGCCAAATAGCCGGAGCGGATGCTATACCAAATGGAAGCCTATTAAACCTATACAATCCCTTATGAGTATTAATTGTCAACAATTACTTCGTCTCCTCTTCAACCTCCATTTGTAAATATGCTTGTTTCAAATCTATTTTGCTAAACTTTTGTCCTCCTGCAAGAGATGTAAAAAGGTCATCTATTGTTGGTAATGGATATTTATCTACACAAAGAACAGGATTTACAGTCACTTTAAAATAAGCGCAAAGTCGTATTTTACCGTCTTTCTTAAGAACTGGAACTATTGAAGTAGCCCACTCACTAAAAGTGACTTTGGTAATTATATCATCACGTTCAAGTCTTTCCAATTCCGCTTCAATTTTAGGCCGAAGTGCAAAAGGTACAGGCCTGGGAGGGAAGAATTTAGGTATGGCGCCCTTTTTCAAAACCAGTTTAGCTTTTGTCCCTTTTATACAGCCTACGTCATCAGAAAATACATCACTGTACTTTTTTAACAAATGTTTCAATCGAGTTTTAGTTTCGGGGGAACAGACTGGTTCTGTTGCCTCACGTATATTGAAAATCGTTCTCTAGTCCAATTGAATTTGATGTTACCAATCACGCCCAAACAAACTAGGACCGTTTGTGCTTGCCACGTACAATCTGGATTTACAACTTTGGCCAATAATTTGTATATCGACTTTAAGGACACCCAATGGATATATCTTTTCCCCAGAATAAGTCTTCAAGCAAATTTTTGTATTATTCAAAGGAATATGAGACAAATGTGAATCGTAAACATTTTTAGAAATGATAGACACAGCCGATCCGGTATCTAGTTCCATTCTTAGTGTTTTCCCACTAATAATCGGAAAAAGCCAAATTGCACCATTTTCGTTTCTAAGTACGCTATTTATACGTAAATTACCAACCTCTATAGACGACGAATCCGACGAATTCTCCAAGTTTGGACTATCACTGCTGTCGTTCTTCATAACATTTGCACTTCGTGCTTTATCGTTATCGCGTCTGTCATTCCCCGTCCTTTCTCTGGACATCACTGGCTTACGTCGTGTGCAAACCTGTTGAATTTGACCTCGGCGGCCGCAGTTAAAACACTGGAAGTTTTTATAACGACAATTTTTGAAATCGTGTTCAGTTTTACCACAGTGTTTACATTTTAAGGTATTAAACCGTTGCTTTCTAGAAAAATAATGCTCCTTCACCATTGGCATAACACTGCCACTTGATATTTCGGCCACATCCCTGTTGGCCAATTCCATTGACGTTGCAATTTGAAATGCCCTTTGAAGATCTAATTTTTCCCCATCTTTTGCCATTAACCTTTTTCTAGTAGCCTCATCAAGTATACCAAAGATTAATCGATCGCGTATGAAATCATCCTTCAATGGACAGGATTTACACCCCTCAGACAATTTTCTTAGCTCTGCTGCATATTCACGAACCCCTTCAGAAAACTTCTGATCTCTTCTGTGAAATGCGAACCTTTCCACAAAAACGGAACGTTTCGGTTTTAAATGATCTTGCAAGGTTTTCTTTATAACATCATATGTTTTGGAACTAGGCAAGTCGGGTGCCAAAAGATTGTGTAGTATTTGGTAGGTTTTAGTAGGCAAGTTTGCAATTAACGTTGGTACCTTTTTCTCATCGGCAATATCACTTGCAATAAAATACTGTTCTAATTGCTCACAATAAAGCGGCCAATCACTCCCATCATATTGGATCATATTCTTAGCCATTTCTTTGATTTACAGAGAATTTGTTGCGCGGTCCCGCATATAAACAATAACAGTGTCTCACCAACGTCTTTGCACATATAAACAATAACAATGTCTCACCAACGTCTTTGCAATCGCTCTAAATTTACGATTCATCAACCTGTGTGTATCCCATCCTCATCGCCAGTTTGTTGTGTTCTTAAGTCCCCTTTATTTGTCAGAAATACACGAGTATAGACGTTGTAGCAACACCCTTTATTGACCAACTCAAACCATCGACTGGCCGGGAACTCCGGCCAATGACATAACGTGTTAAGTAAATCGCATGAGCAGTCATGCGATTTATGACGTAATAAATACACCACAATGGGCACTCCCCAAAATGGAAAAGAGATCCTTCTCTCAGCAAAGTTATGAAGACTCTTTTTGAACAAAATTACGCCCATTCACTTAAAACTAAAGAAGACGCGTTTCTCGGTTAACTTAAGCGCGCTTACTCAGAAGTAATGGAACTTATCCTCAGCCCTGTAGGACATCTATAAAAAAAAACTGAGACTTTTTTCATAGTCTGAAAGCACAGAAAATTCGAAATAATTTGTACATTAGTTGCGAAGAAAGACAACCCAAAGACGAAAACAAATATTTAGCAAATCGGAATACCGTTCTAATTCGGCGGATTAGCGCCTGTCATGGTTTTACAAAGAGCGAATTCAAACCACTGCGAGCGATAAAACCAAGTAAATACTAAAAATAGTTTAACAACATGTTGCGAATTCCTTGTTTTATTTGCCTTGTGGGTTCGGCCGAAAACTCAAAGCTTCGTCATTACCTCGGAATGCCTGTAAACGCAAGGCTGGATTAATAAAAAAAAAACTTGATTGTGATTCTGATAATCTTATCTGGCATATGATTAGCTGAGCATATAGTGAAAGTCATTTAAATGGACAGCTCTCTGTCCTCTCCGATTTTCACTGTTAGAGAAATTTTTAATCAAAAACTGTGGGTTGCGACCCGGCCTAATTGATAATGAATATCCATTGTATTGCTTTGTATTCCGTACAAATTAATTGATAAGCGGTAAATAGATTCAGTATATAAGGCTTTGTAAAATAAATATACATTCAGCGCATAACTGAAAATCGGCAAATGTTAAAGGTGAATTCAAATCTATATAACTATCCATTCTCCTAACTACATTACACGCTAACTGTGAAATGGCAAACATGAAAATTCAACTAATCTCTACATCTTGTAATAGAAGGATAAAGTTATCAAAATGAAACTGAATACTAGGTGGTATTTTCTAATGTTTCGTTTTCATCACGCGCGGCGGTGTGGCTCAACGGGCTGAGCGTTAGGAATACGCTCGCCACCGCACCTCTAACTACTCTGCGTGGGTTCGCAGGTTCGAATCCCATGCAGAGATGGTTATGTGCGAGAGGATTGCTGGACTCCTCGCCGTCGTTGGGTGGTTCACGTAACCGCTGGCCGGTTACGGCTTCCTCCACCACCAAGTCCATGCTTCCGAAAAACAAACAATACAGTAAAACTAATCCCATACCCGACTTGGAATGGTAACCGGACGAGAGGCCGTGGTTCGCCATATGGATAAGCCGTCTTATCGGCTTTCCTCTCCCCCGGGATAAATATGTAAATCCTATCCTATCCTATCCTATCAACAGGTTCAACCAGAAAATTCAGATTTTCGAAAATTTTAAAAGTATAGGTATTACTAAATCATTAATTCATAAAATAATAATTGTATTGCTCTTTCATCAATTTACGATGATTATCACGACGCTCCCTCGTCAATAAATCAACGTAAAGAATAGCGCAAACAATTTTCAACAGTAGACCTCATAGAAAATGGGCACTCCCGAAGTATGTGCATCGAGATGGCGCACAAACTGAAGCCTAATCATGTACACATAATATTTTCAGGTTGTGCGCCATCTTGGTGAACATTCTTTTGGAGGTCCGGAAAATGTCGTCATCTGAGGATAGATTTGTATTTTTAATAGTTTCGTCGAATTGCGTCCTTTTTGATGGGTAAAGTACTGTTCGTTCAGTTTTTTTTTGAAAGTCATAAAATAACGTATATTGCATTGCCACTGAAGATTATGTAAACTATTATATTGCACTTATGTAGGAAAATGGGTACCCCCGTAGGGTGTGTACCAGGTTAAGGTTAGGTCATATTTTCATCTAATTTTCCTTATTTTAGTTCTATTGAGAGTCCGGGTGCTATCTGTGTTAGCCAAGTGAATTTACCCCCTGCCCATAGGTTTCAGTCCCTTTACACAGCTTGATGTTAAATAGGCGAACAAAATTAAATAAGCATTATTAAAATAAAAATTAATGTTTGGTAGAGTGAAATTCTGAAATTCAATAGACAGTAAACATAAACTTAATTCGCATTTGTGCTACGGAATAATGCGTGTAAAAGCAGTAACATGAAGATCGGGAAATGCTGCTACTTTCAGCAAGCACTATAATGGTTTTCAAAATTAAAACATGGTTTATGCAAAATTAATGTTGCATTATCTCCAAATAATCAAATTGGTTTTATATAAAATTTGCCCATCTCTACAAATTTTGATTTTGTTTGGCAGCCCGATTATAAACATCGACGATTTTAATCTGTTATATTTAGCAATGCGACATGATTTACCACGTGGTATATTCATTTAAATAATTGAGATATAGAATATAAGAAAGTTGACACATTGTAGGTTCAGCAAAGATCATCTTCTAAAAAAGAAATGAAATGTTATAATAATAAAATTGTATTTGAATCTGGGTGTAATACGAAGTTTTTAAAATGAAATATTTATCCAATAAGATTTTTTTAGTAAGCTGTTTTGTAATTTTCGCAAAGCATTGGCTGAATCAAAGCCATACGAATAGATGAGTTCTCAAGCCATGACCAATTATATATTCTCTTTGTGATTTAATTAACTGAAACTTTACATAAAGCTTCTGAAACATTTAGAGAATCAGCTATTCTTATATTCGATGTCAATTATTAACCGGATGAGAGGTCACGGTTTGTGGTCTGCATTGCGGATGAGAGGTCTGCATTGCCCGATTAACTTTTCTTCCAACAGGTTTGAATAGTTAAATTGCATCCACCTACCTTCATTTAACATTCGCGGTCTGTTCACGCTCAACTCTCGTCCTTCATTAACTTGATTTTTAGCTTCTGTCTGTTTGTTCGGATT